TGGGAGAAGATGTGCGAGGGGAGAAAGATGAGGCCGTTGTGGGAGAGGTCCAGACTCCTCAGGGCGCCCAGGGAGCTCCAGCGCAGAGAAGTGGCCAGGTCCATCACCGAGGAGTGGTTGTAAAGAGCCCGGCTGAGGTTCAGATCCAGCAGGGAGTGGTTCTGCACCATGAAGGCTTCGGGGTGGATGATCGCCAGCTGGTTGTTGCTCAGGTCCAGAGAGCGGAGGCTGCGCAGCCCCGAAAACGTGTTGGAATCCACCTCGGATATTCTGGGTTTGAGGGAGATTAATGAGACGTTGATTATACTTTTAAATCAAATACAAGAGCAAGAAGGTGGAAATAATGCAATGCCTTTAGACAGAACAGGGCTGATTTGTTTGGATACAAATGCTTCAATAAATTGAATGGGGTATTCATTTTAATACAGTTTGATTGAAGCAACAACAAGGAACAACTAATACTCAATTAGTGCTGCAACAACTAATCGATTGGTTGACCGATCATCAAGTATTTTGATAATCAATCATTAAGTCGTTTATCATGCAAAAATGGTAGGAGACGGTGTCTGCTGCCTCTCAGATATGGAGGTTATACCAGACATTTAAGACCTCACCTTCAACTTTCCAAAACAAATGACAAATCTCACTATTTCCTGACATAACAATAGGCAGATCAATCAATAACAACTGATCAATAGTTGCAGCCATTCTTAGAGATGCAAAGGCTAATCCATTGGTTTGGATGGCTGAAAATAACAACTAATTATTTTTGATAATCAATTAATCAAGTCGTTTTCCATGCAAAGTTGGCAGAACATGCCGTCATGAAATGTCCTGCTTTTCTTGGTTTTATTTCATAATAATATCTTTAAGATTGAAACAGTCATCCCAAGACATTTCTACTGTATGACATTTTACACTATTTGTTCGTTTTATTTGATTAATCGATCTTACGTATAAGTTCTGCCCATGCATGTTATATCTGCTTTGCATTACCACAAAGTGACCTGGAGTCACCGGGAGAGTCTCACCTGTTGTTGCTCAGAGAAAGGGTCGTTACATTATCCAGCCCTCTGAAACACTCCGGACCGATACGGCTGATATGGTTCCCGGTGATGAACAGATTCCGGGTGTAACCGGGGATCCCGGCCGGTACAGCCCGCAGCTCTCTGGAGACGCACTTCACGGTGTGAGCCGCCTCGGAGCACTCGCAGCGCGGGGGACACGACGCGTAGAGAGAGCCGAGCAGCGCGCAGAAAACAAGGCGCTGCGCCAGAACCCGCATGTTGGAGAGGAGGGAAAGTGAGCGGTGCGAAAGAGAAACAACAATGGTTCAATGAAACGATCAGCTCCTCCAAGACGTCATAATCAAATGTTGTCCCGGCTGGGAATGCGCCTCAACTTTGCATCTCTGCAGAAAGTGTGGCCGGGAGGCAGGGTCTGATTTCCATGAGAACAGAGCTGGGGGTCGTGCTGATCTGAGCGTGTTTGATCCTCTGCCGGGGCGAAGCGGGGCGTCGCTTCTTCTCCAACAATGAAGTTAAAAGGACCCTCGCCTGGTGCGATGATATGTGGGGAGGGGCTTCTCTCCTGCCGGAGACACGAGATGTTTCCTCTGGCTAGAGAGAGGAGGAGAAAGTGGCCGAGCCCCCCTCTCTCTTTCTCTCCATGTTTACACTCAAATACAACCATGTGGCGCTGGACAATACTGCAGCTCCTACCTGAAGACAGGGAAAGGAAATCTGGGCTTTTTATGATTGAGTTGCGGGACAAAAACAAGAAGTTTCTATAGTAAATGTGCAGAATTAGAAGAAGTACTCTGGTGTTAAAAAGTAACAATACCACAGTGTGGAAATACTCAAAATGTTACTTAAATAAAAGTACTTAACTTTAGCATAGAAATATTCTTAAAGTACCAAAAGTGAAAGTACTCATTTAGCAGAGAAGCTCAATACAAATCATTTGCTGATTATACTATTATTTTCTTAACCTTTTGCTCCAGCGAAAACAATATCTCAGTGGAGTACACAGTTGCACAAATTGGGAATACTGAAGTAAAATACCTTGAAACTGATATAAGTACTGCACTTAAGTATTTGTGACAAGGCCCATGTTCCCTATTTGGTAAATGGTTTATAATCAGGTATAATTGTTTTACTTTATCAGATTTCTTTAAGAGAATTTCATCAGTTCATCAAAACTGCCCGTTTGTTGCAAGAAAATATGTTTTCTATGATAAACAAATGAGTATTAAGATATTTTACTTTAGTGGCAATACTGCCGTGTAGAAATACTGTAAAAGTAATGCATTCATTTTCATTAATAACTGTATTGCAGTAAAATAAATACAACATAAAATGGGAATACCCGAGTACAGTACAACACAACTGATGGTTATTTTTGTATGATTGTATATTATCAGAAGTCTTATTTTATAGCTCCAATTTTGTTTTAAAGAAGTTTTTATAAGAATTCCTACAATAACTTCACAATTGACCAGTTGAGGAATGTGCCGTCCCGGGTCATTCCCAGCTCCCCAGGTGGGATGGTAAACGTGGGGGAGGGGTGTTTTGGGGTCCAGACTATAAACCCCTTTGATCCCCTTGAAAGTAAAACTATACTTACCTTCAAAACCTCTCTTAAAGAGCACCTTCGGGGGAAAGCATTGCAAAACTGGCCCCGGTAATGGTACAAATCTCAACCTGTCGTACAATGGACAGCTTCCCCCCCCCCATCTATGTATATACTCGCATTTTAGACTCTGTTACTAACTGTATATCTGTAGACTTGGTATGTCTTAAATGTCCGGTTAGGATGTATTAGAACGAAATCTAAAATGAAAATTGTAAATAAGCCATCTGTATGTAAAAAACCACCTGTATGTAAATTGTAAATAAGCCATCTGTATGTCAAATATGTCTTATATGTCTTAAATGATATGATGAATTGGAAATGGGGGACCCTGATGTAAACAAGACGAAAGTCTTTCTCTGGTCTGCATCCCCTTAACAATTGTATGTTTTGAGCTGTACTGTACTGTACCCAATATACAAGCTGTTAATAAACTTTTCAATCAATCAATCAATCTCCCTTGAATACCGTGATACTCTGCAGGATGATGGCCCCTCAGAGGAGCTTTGATATCAGCATCAGATCTGAGGCTGCTTCCTTTCCTTAATGTTTATTCTGACAGCTTATAATGATTATTACAGGAATCACTCGGGAGTTATTTATAGAAACTCCAGGAAGACGGTGGGGGTGGGGGTGGGGGAGGCGGGATGGATTTGCCTTTCATGGGCTCAGAGTGTCCTGAAATCCTCACATCATCCAACAGTTATCATAAATAAATAAGGGAAAAGAAATAGCACACATTTTTTACAATAATAGAGATTTTTATATTAGCTGTAAGTCATAAACACACACAGGAAATTCCTCATGAGCCAATAGGATCAGCAGCATGACATTAGAGAAACAAGAGGTTGTTATCTTATATTTCAGACGGGTTTATATGGAAAGTGGCACTTATAAAAGCATCCCTGACTGTCTTTTGTCAGCGGAGAGAGTCTGAAAGGACCGAGGTCTCCACATTCCTGGACCTGGCTCTTGGATACGACGAGGCACCACAGCAGGTGACATTTAAAACCCTTCAATTCATCTCTGCTTGATATTGCACTCCTGCACATGCACTCAAATAAAGAAGCGCTATTAGTCGTCACGTCTATTTCTCGTCCTAAATGATATGTTTTATAGGTAAAAAGCAGTAGAAATCACAATGCTGAGTTTGATGAACTGAACTCAAAGGGCCATTCATTCAACCAATGCCTTTCATAGCTCAAAATGTAATAAATGAGGTGGAAAACAAGTCATTTGAGGGCAGTTTGTCTCCTGTTTTCCAACATTTAGCGCAATTATAGAGACCGAGGGTCTTTCACATTTCTCACTGCCACAATATCTCTCTGCTCAAGAAGCCTGATCATTTTAAATAGAAATACTTGAGTTGTTTTTACAATAAAATGTGATTTGCTCCTTACGCTAGTTGCATGGTTTTAAAGGGGAACACCACCTTATGAAAGATATTCCAATATGTTATTTCCATGGTTTACGAAAGTTCAAATAATATTGTTGAACACGAGTTACTCTCTGTCAAAGTTAAATGAATGGGAGATTTGTGTGGACAGACAAGAGGTTTGTTTCTCTTTCTATTCCCAAATGAGCTTCATTACCTAATAAGCTTAACCTTCCGGTATCATCTTTGTTTAGGAGTCATTTCAGGGTGAATTGTGTCAAATACTTCTGAAAACATTGTGTTTTCAGCTCGATTGTGTTGTTGTACGTCAGCAGGAAACACAACTGGCCCAAATGTCATGATACTTGGTGGAAGGGTGTAGCATAATCCAAGAAATGTATTTACATTTGTTAACTTTGATAGGGCGCTTTTGGTATTCATGTGGTGTCAGAATAATAAAATAAATAAGTTATTGACAAGGGAACTTTTAGAAATGACAATTAATGTGTTTTTAAAACAATTGAATGACAGCATGAGAACCTGCACCATCAGAGGAGTATGTGAATGCATGAAGAAAAACAAGTTCCCTTAAACACATCATCTTAAAACATCTTTTCCCAATTCATTGTGGTTTCCAAATGTATTGTTGGTGGAAAAAAATCACTTTCGTATTTCGATTTGGGAGAGACGGTTGTTCATGTTTGCTTCTATTTTTGGACCGTCTATGCCCCTATAAACAACATGATTTAATTTAGAAAAATTGACGTAGTACCCCTTTAAAAGACAGTCTTGAAGTGACACGGTAATGAGGTTTAAATTATTCCCAAAACGATATTTTATAAAAAGGATTTCCCGTTCAAAATGCGGGCAGATTCTACATTTCATTACTCGTTCAAATGGTTGGAGACGAATGCTCCTCTCTGCAGAAACTGAAGCTCCACACGAACAGCACAGGCTATTGCATCAAATCAACATTAACTTAAGCAGGCTTCTTAAAGTCTAATGTATTATTTATTCTTGCTACAGTTAGCCAGCAATGACATACAACTTAAACCAGATTAAGAGAAAGACGAAGAGTAATAAATATAAAAATCAATCAGCGGGCAGAGGGGCCGCAGTGAAGAGCAGCTGATTATTAATCAAGAAGCCACAGTGATGTGTCACACACTCTTGCATGCATGCAACACACACATGCAATCACATGCTCTCTCCAATCACTGTGTGCATGAATAACACACACTCAATCAGGCACACATCTGCCTCCCTGCTGTGCATAGACGGAAAAATGACAGCGTAAATTATAGAAAAGGATAAATCTGTAGAGTGAGCAATCAAATTAGCTAAGTATATAAAGAGCACCTGGTGTACAGTATAATGTGTGATCAAATATTTACAGGCAACATGGCTGAAATACACACAAGAGGCCAGAGTATTAACATAAGAGCAAGAACACAGGTGACCCCTTTAACACGATACAGAAAAGACAGATTTTAATTAATAAAATCACTTAAATGCCTTTGGATTATGGCAGGATGTCGGCTGGTTTCTATCAAAGCTTTGTGAAAACAGCGCTGACATTTCACAATGACCTTCGAATGTGATCTGCAGCGGTGGAAAGCAGCAGGAAGGACGTATGAGTGAAAGTGGGGAAATGCAGCAGGGGTTGGAGAGTGTGAAAAACCTGAGGATCCTGGCTACCTGCTGCTCCTGTCAGCACCGGACAAAGAGAGGGCTCAACACTTATTCTGTGAGGGGATTTCAATCTACTCACGACACCCATGGCAACGGATTGGAGGTGCCAAACACCACGTGGAACTATTTTCTTTCAAGTGTAACTAGAAAAGGGTTAGATATTAGAAGATATTGAGGATCCGTGAGAGTTTGTTTTTTTAGGCACTGACTTCTGCTTCTTACTCGTAGGTCAAAAATTGGGAATAAAAAACATAATAATAATAAGAACTGACCAGGATTCATAACTCTCACATCTATACCCCTTTTCCACCAAAGCGGTTCCAGGACCAGTTTGTTGTTTTTATTATTACAGCTGTATTAATATGCCAATACAGCTTAAAAGGTCTCAGTGAGAATCGAACAAGCACCGGACGGAGCTAGAACCTTTCAGTGGAAAAGGGGTACAAGAGGCTTTTCGTTCAATAACTCTGGAGTTGCTAATGAGCTGTTCCACTAAATAAAAAGTTAGATATTCAAGGACACAGTTTGAGTTTGGCACAAGAATAACAAAAACAAAAGCTGAACCATCATCTGGGTTTTAACCAAAGTCACATCCATTGATTTAGCTACAATCGCTGCACAGATGATCTGTAGTTAAAAAGGTTTGAAAACATTCTTAAAGAAGTACCATGAGGCGATACATGTAATGCACGTACAACAAATCTCTGAGACAGTATTTATGTTTTAGAAGATGTAAGAAAAAGCACAAAAATACAAACTGCTGCGACGTGTTTAGCGGAGCATGAAATACAGTAAAATCACTTGAAAATGCTTCTAATCAATGTAACATGTTTGTATAAAAATGGCATTCTGGAAGTAGTGAATTATGGGATTTCACTCCCTATATTACGTAGGAAAATAAAATAATAAAAAATCTGGAAGCAAGGCATGAATGTGTTCCCTCTGAGAATTCACCAATTCCTCTATCAGCTACACCACGTCTACACTTTGCAGGTGGCGATGGCTTAAACCTGCTCTCAGGGTTTTAAGTATCATATCCATCAAGTGTTTGTGTGTCGGGTGTTCAGTCACGACATAAATAACCGATATAAAATCACTTCCATCATTTTCAATCTTAGCATAACGCCGCTAACAGGCCGTCTGCTTCTCACAAAGCCAGCCTGTGTTCCCGCTCCACAACCCTCTCTCGGAGGTTAGTAGTCTTTTATCTCCTCGACACCGTGAGAAGCCCCCCCCCCCACTCCCTCGATGTGTAAAAGGTCAACCCCACATTGGACCTGCGGGGGTCCTCGTGTCCTCCACCTGCCTCCAGGTCACCGCAGGTTGAAGGCCAGGACCACAGCGATGATGATGCCCATGAGCATGAGGAAGGGCAGCCAGGTCTTCAGAAAACCTGCACAGCTGGAGAACACACAGAGAGGAAGAGTAAATGAAGGGGAGGGAAATAAAAGATCATGGAAACTGATGATTTGTATTATTTTCAGTATGAGTCCTGAAACATCAGCATCATATTTTTACTGATTTTAAAACGGTTATATTATTTGATGAGGCACTGACCTCCATCATGACATCAAAGAGAGCCACAGTGACGCGTCCTAAAACCCGGAAGTAAACTCCTTCCGGTTCCTTTGACAAAAACGCAATGCAATCTCTCCATAGGATTTAGGAGCTGGATATAAGGTCTGTGGTTGAGACACATTGAAGAGACGGATCACGTTTTGTTCAGCCGGATAATCTCCACATGTCTACCCTACTTTTATAATTTTCTAATCATAAATCTAGTCGCCAGAAGCAAAATGCTAACGTTATGCTATAAAGCAGGGGTGTCAAACTCAAGGCCCGGGGGCCAAATCCGGCCCGCGACTTCATTTTATGCGGCCCCACAAGAGCTTGCAAAGAATATAATATGTTTATTATACGGTTACATGCTACTTTACAGAAGCACGTTGCCCATAAACGACATGTCCCACAATGCATCCCAAATTTGACTTTTTCTCAGAATTTGACTTTTTTTTTTCAAATATGCCTTTTTTCTTAGAATTAGCCTTTTTCTCATAAATAGATTTTTTTTTTTAAATGTCACTTCTCTTTTTCAAAATGTCACAATCAATGTTTTTCCAGAATGTGGCTTTTCTTTTAAAATCATATTGTGACATTCTTACTGAAGAGACTTGCAATTATTTGCTCTAGACTTCTGCTTTCAGACGTAGTTAATTATGAAGTTATATTAATTAATGATATAGTCTTAAAGTTACAACCGGCCCTTTGAGTGCAACCATAATGCTGATGTGGCCCCTGATGAAATTGAGTTTGACACCCCTGCTATAAAGGAACTACAGCAGGGTCGCTGCTTCAACGTCACGCCAACTTCAGATCCATATTCAAACATACAGATTCTAAATGTTACGAGTTGAAGCGTTTGTTTGAACAGTTAGCAGGAGGCAGGGACTTGCTTTCAAGCAGAACAGGGCAAACTAACTTAGAGGAGTGTTTACGTGTTCGGTGTAATGACGTAAAACGACCTCCACGACTTCTGTAGTCCTATTCAGCCACTTGGTAACAACCATCGTTTTTCAGACACGTCAACTCTTCAGAAATCACCAGTGGGGTCACTGCTGATGGATTTAATGTCGTAGAACAAAACGTGATCCGTCTCTTCAATGTGTCTCAACCACAGACCTTATTTCCAGCTATTTTCCAAAATCCTATGGAGAAAAGGAACCAGAAGTGGTAAAATGCTAACTTACTTCCGGGTTTTAGGACGCGTCACTGTGGCACTCTATTTCATTACACCCGACAACTCGCAATCGCCAGTTTTGAAGCATTGAAAACTTTATTTCATAAAAACGACAAATAACTTATTAAAACATTTACCATTTGTGTAGGCTGTAGAATGTCATTAAATATGGCAGCAGACCATTTACATGCACACAAACCTATAGAACACACTATAGGAAAGGGAAAACCCCCAAAAAGTAGGGCCTATTTAAGCTTCATTTGAAAATTTAAATATGAGCCTCTGAGCTCATTAAAAAAGACAACAGTATAGTTGTCGCACATCAAAGTGACTACATCAGGAAGTGACTTTAATTGTCTAATCAACTTGTTCTAACAACAATCACCTCACTCACTGGATGTGTATTCCACCCCCACATCACTTCAGTTCACAGACTTTCTGCAGGACTGTCCTATATACGGTCTTACTACTTCCCTAAAATCAGGTCTGCCTCCCTCTCTCTCTCTCGAGTCCTGAGACACAAACAGGTTCAAGGCATTCCAAGTAAAATCCCCCCGAGCCCCCGGATCAGAGAGAGAAACCTCGTCCAGAGCTCCAGAATCTTCTTCTTACGGTGGCTTTACACAGAGCAGCTCAGATCATACGCTACGCTCCAGTTTGGGCCTTTGAGGCAAATCAAACGCTGATGTTTTAGAATAAAAACTGTCAATTTTCTGTACCAATGCCAAAACATTTAAAGCATTACAAAAGTGATGCTGAAAAGCTGGACGCTTCATCCCAGTATCTGATGCTTTTATTTATGACTTGTCAACACATCTAGACTTAGGCGCTGTTTACACGAGAACGAAACGGGTTGTATCCGCTACCTTTCTCTCGCGTATAGCCCGTTCGTTCACACGAGGCCGTAACGGAACCGCGGAAACTCACTCCGCAAACGATAACGGGTCCCAAGGTGGATAGGTCTGCAACCGGAACGCTCTGGGGGGCCAAACGGCTCCGTGTGTACGTCCTATACAATTATTTCCTGATAACGATGAAGCCATAGCCCCACCTCTCCCCACCTCTGCTGCTCACTGCTGTAGCATGGTCAGTAGCTACTGTCAGTAGCTACTGACCATGCTACAGATGTTAGTGCAGAATCTACAGCTCCTCTACCACAACCATCAGCAACAAGTGGACATGGAGAATTACATGAACTACATGTTGCTAAATCCACCGCGGAGAATAAACAGAAGGGCAACCATGGCAACCATGCTCGGGGGTCTTCTTCGCTGCTTTTGGTGTATTTTGTGGCGGAGGTACAGCGCCACTTACAGGCCCGGCATATGTACTACAGCGTCTCCAGCGGGTCGAGCTGTCTCGTGTGAAGGGACACGTTTATTGAGCCGTATCCGTGTGAACGGAATACTTTTTTGATAACGAATTCAGTTCGTTGGCGTTTCGTTTGCGTTTCCGTGTAAATGGGGTCTTATACATGCTGAGTTAACAATGTTGTTGCAACTAGGCTATGTTTAAAAAGCTATGACTTTAGGGCCATTGTGAGTTAAAAAACACATCACTTTACTTGGCAAGGTTTGATTAACCTCTTCACACCGAAGATCCCATTTGTGAGGGTTTTGTTCGCATTAATGTACCACTTTTTACCAAAATGGCCATAATTCGATGTCAAGTTTGTTTCATACACTGTTGAAAATAAAGCGCCTCAAGCTTGCTGATAAAAAATAAAGCCAAATGGCTCCTGGAATAAAGTGCATCCAACAACTAACATACTCTATGTAACGTACAGGTGAATAAATGTTCATATTTCAGGACTGTTGTTCACACAGTCAATGCTGAAACATCTCTCATTGTGTCTCTAGCACTAACCCAAACAATGAGCAGCTAGCATCACTCTGATGGTTTTGTTTCTGAAAGTCTACAGGAGAGAGAGGAGCTGCTGAATCTGAGCCAGGCCTGAACAGCGGCCATCTTTTCTCTGTGTTTGGTCCAGGAGCCTCGCACCTGTTCAGTTGGACTAAGACCAGGTACATCATAGCGCCAGTCAAGAACACTTCCTGCTGCATTATGCATAACTATTGCTACACTGTTCCCCTAAGACTCTTCCCTAAGACTGAGAATTTGGTTTGGGATATTGCCAAATATCTGGAACAATCTCTATAAAAACAGTTTACATAGAAAAACTAGTAAAGTGCATCTAAAATGTATTTGTCAGTCTGTAAAACACACAATCACAAAGTAATCACCATTTCCTTTGTTCAGACCTGGAAGCCATTTTGTGTCACTGCTCAAAGGGGGAGCTCGCCTCCAAAGGACTCCTTATATGTGCCGTATGAGTAGGCGGAGTCTTGGACGTGATTGGTCAGGAAATGTGTGATTTTATGAGTGTCAATTAGGTTAAAAACTATCAGTTTTAAGCAGAACTTGTTGTTTTTGAAGGTACAATGTTTATGTTGATGCAATTATGAATTTACTTAAGCCTTTAGGATTGTATTAAATGTAGACCACAGTGTTTAATTTTGTATTTAACCCTTCACTCCGCTTTCAGAACCATGACCTGATTGGCCAGGTTGGATTGGGAAGGCGGGCAGTCTCCTATAAATGTGGTTGGGAAGAGAGGGGAAAGGGGCATTTGGTGTTTGTTCCTTGCTGGTGAACGCAGCACCAGGCATGCAGTTTTTGTTTCTGTGGAATAATGTGGAAGGCTGAGAATAAAACGCCTGTCTATTTTTGCAAGAAAACCCTCTCTCCACGTATCGTTCTTTCACCTGCACCTCACTTTGTAACAGAACTATTCACATCTAAAAGGCCCGGACACACCGAGCCGATTTTGGCCGTCGATAGATGTCCGGCCGTCGATGAGCGTCCTGTCGCCCTACTCAGATCGGTGTGTCCAACATGTTGAACCTTCTGCGGCTGTCGGCAAAATAAATCACTCTGATTGGCTGTTCAGCTTAGCGAATCAGTGCATGAGAAGCGAAACGGAAGTGAAGAAGGCACACACAGACGACTATTATTTTTCCTTTTCCAGTACCGCACTAAACACGTTTTCGATTATAAGTCGTTATGTTAAACAGTCTGTGATGGACGAGAGAGAAAATGGAACGCACGCTATTTGTATATATCACGCAGTCTGTCTTTCGGTTGCCTCTTTTGAATGACGAATACACACTACCGCCACCTGCTGGTAAGGAGAGGTATTGCCACTCACGCATGCGCAGTTCGTACGTGCTACTTGGCCGTCGGCTGAAGTCTTTGCGGTGTGTTCCAGTGCGACACATGGCCAAGACGCAGAGACGTGAGGCGACACAACAATCAGGTCCGTCGGGACGTGTTCTTTGGTGTCAATTCATGTTTTATTACCTTTGCTTTTTAATGTTTCCAATGTGTTTTATGCTCTTAATGTTTTTGTAAAGCACTTTTTGAATTGCCTTGTGTTGAAAAGTGCTGCATAAATGAACTTGCCTGCCTTGCCTAATATTGATGCGAACACCTCCAAACAAGCTTCGTAGTGATCAGTCCTCTTACCCGATGTGTTTCCCGTGGATGAGCACGAGGAGGCAGATGTTGACCATGTTCCACGAGGTGCTGTTTTCATATCGCATCAGATTCAGAGCCATGGCCACGTGAGAGTGACAGTTATCACAGCAGAGGTTGTGCTGGAAACAAAGAGTACAGTCACTTTCATAGAAATACTAACATTACTGCTTCAAGAACTATTGTTGTGTATTGTACTTATTGGCAAAGACCATTTTCAGCGCTATTGCTAATATCATAGCACTACTGTATAAGTTGTAAAAGACGTATTTTAACACATTTATTGTAAAACTGTAGTACGATTTAACAAACTAAACTTCTCAAAGTTTATATATTTATATTGTTCATGTTGGTGTTTTCTCCGGTAGTATACTGTACATTTCAACCAATTATTTTTCATATTTTTGGCAAATACTTTACCATAGATATTCCATCTTTCATATTTTTTGATGTTACTTCTTGACTTACTTCTATATATCTTTCTCTATAAACATAGACATATTTCCCCCCCAGGGATAAATAACGTTTTTGTTCGGATTCTGATACATAAAAGTCAATAAAAGACCATAATAACGTGTATTTACCATCCTTTGCTTGTACTCCTCTGAAGCGTCGTGCACCGCCGTGTCCCAGGCATTCGAGCCTCTGGCGTACACTTTGCTAACGTCAAGCATCCAGTACCTGTAAACAAAGAGACAAATATATATCTATCTATATATTTTCTTAGTAGGACGGATGTCGGGGAACAGCTCTGGTTTTTACAAATTCTCTGGAGCAATTTGTTAAATCACAACAACAACAACAATATTCTGATTTACTCACTTCGTTGGTTTTCCAAAAGCCATGTTGTCTTCCTGCAAAAACCAGAAAGATATTTGTTGTTGATCACTTGTGCCCTCATGTTTCTTTGATTAAGCTGGACTTACAGCATGATCTCCTTTGGTTCTATACTAAATACAAGCACAGCCAGACACTACCTTCAGGATCAAACCAGTGGAGTCAATTGTAAACTTAAAATCAACCCTTTCAAAACACATACATTTAGTTTTTATGATGTGATGAAAAATCACACGCACTTTGGTAACTGGTGTTTGCATTGAGTCCCAGGTCCATCAGTATCAGTCATGTGTCGATTCCCACAGGCTCAACAGGACGAAGACATGTCAGGTCAGAGATAAAAGCACTTGTCCAATGTCACTAGTCATACAAATGTAAAATAAGATGTGACATGAATGAGATATAAAGACACTGTTATATGAGATGTGTACTCTCTCTGTGGTGAAAGCTTTAAAGGTCACCTATTATGCAAAACCCACTTTTTCATATCTATTATACATCAGTATGTGTGTTAAGAGACTCAGGAACAAGACCCCCTCTCTTTTTGTCCTGATCCATTTATATAAAAACCTGTCTGAAAACGAGCTGATTTTGGCCACTCTGTGATGTCACCATGTTTTTTGGCTTGTGTAACCATTAGCCAATCACCAACCACCTTATCACCTGAATCTCCTCCTGGAGCACCATTGTGTTTTTTTCAAACCAAACACTTTGCAGTTCATCATTTGTCATAGTTTGTATTTTTAAATTGTGCAAAAAAACATGAAATTAAGGATATATCCAGCAGTATTGCAAAGCATTGTTAAATAAGGAAATGCGCCTCACATCCTGTTCGTCTGTATTCACCAACAACTTTTTGTGTGCATCAGCCAAATGGGACCAATCTAGAAAACAGCACCGCATGGAAAATCTAGAGACACCATCATTTATTTAAATTGATCCTTGCTTTAATAAAGAGGGGGTGCCAGAAGTGAGAGCTTAAAGGTGGGGTAGGTAATTCACTTCAGAAACACTTTTTGTTATATTCCATGGAATGCTCTGAACATCCCGATAGCAATGAATACATTAAAAAAATTCATCTGTGGAAGCCGTGGTGCTGTAAAAAGCACGACCAATCATCTGAGCCGGCCCGGCTAAAATAACTGGATGGCCTACCTGCCTGTCAGCCTTCCATCTCGTGCACAAACTTATCTCGTGCCCTCATTGGTCATGTGTGCGTTCGTATGTGTTGGAGGAGGGGCTTCTCCATTCTTACCTACCCTACCTTTAAGCACAACATTAACAGCAAGCCATTAAGTTGGCCAATCGAACACATGAAAGTTCCTCTTCCGGACTGATTACTTATTTATAACATGAATATGAGTAGTATGAGTATTTCCATTGTGAATGCTGTGATAAGATGGATGTCATTTTCCACCATGATAATTCTCCAGAAGGGTAAAATCCTTCCTCATCGGCAGCTCATGGATAATACGACAACATATTTCATTATCCCACTGTTGTTATCTATTATTGCAGGGCTGTTTTGGGTCTGAATCTTTAAATATGTGTTCATAAAAATGTGTTCTTTGTGAATCCTGAAAGCATCTCCAACTGTGCATATTGTACAGTGTATGTGCATTATTTATGAAATGGCTGATGCAAGCACATTTGGTTTTGACCATAGTGTATGTCACCAGATTTTGACAAACAAATTGAGTTTGAAACATACTGAAAATACAGATAGGGCTTTGATAAGTTCCTTTTGATATATGCTATCCCTTGTTTTCCAAGTTGCATACTTTCAAGAGGCTACTGTAAAACTAAAGGGGGCGATGATGATGCTTAACACTTGTGGACCAGTCATTAAAACCAAAAGCTATATTATAAAAGCTTATACTCCTTGTCTTATCTGACATACATTGTGGTAATTTAGAGCCCCTTGTACCTCATTTCACATTCAGGCCATAACACTCTGCAGCAGTCATTACTCACGGAGACAAAGTACGGTCCTGCAAAGTCCCGGATGACCCCGGTGGAAGTGCAGATTCCCATGTGGCCAATGAGTGGAAACAGCCATCTGAACAAAAAAAAATGTAATAAAACAATCTAAAAGTAGCACCTCACAATCAGAAACACTTTCTTTATTAAATTGGGTTACAGCTGCTCCATTTTAGAATAAAACTATAGACAAATGTAGTGACGTTATAGTATAAATGTAGGCAATGTTATATAGAAAAACTGTGGACATACTGTAACCTCTTTAAACAACTTTTCCCTCAACAACTTCTAGTCTTGTTCCAAAATTCACAATCTAAGAGTTTTTACGTCCACTTCTCTTGACAGCAGCCCTACAAAATTCATGTATGGACTCAGATACAGACATATTAAGTACTATTATGCACAAGGGACATGTGGTGGTAATGCATTTTTTTAAATGTTGAATTAGTACTGAGAAACAAAACTGCCAACACTTTATCCGTAAGAGATAATGGACACGAAAACATTATATGTGATATACATTATCTACCACCACCGTCAAAGTGCTTAGTATAAATATGATACAGTATTTCCTGTTTATGGTGATATTCCTAGAAAAGTGGTTATCTAAGAGTGTGATTGTACAACGTATGTACTGCGTGTTTTTTCTTAGAAATACACATGTAATAGTAGCCTATGGCCTTTTACGTCATGTACAATTACAATGAGTTTTTGGTTAAAACACTTAGACACACATTCTTTCTAAAAGTTTGGGTAAAATTACGATATTAAGAAATGTGTCCTGATAAAAGTATGAAACACTGACATTTATTTAGTACAACTATAACAGCATTTGAGCTTTTACACCAAGTTAATGTGTACTTTTAAGTAAACAGGCTGACTTTAAGCACATTTATCTGTTTCTTTTAAGGTTGCTTGTAAAAATTGTTGTTTTTATAGTTTATATATGTGACTCTAACTCACAGCGAGGCCAGCTAACAAATACGTGTATTAAAATCATATTTAAAAAACAAAACAGCAACAGGATGCTAGCTAAGCTAAGCTAACTCTGTCACTTCCTCCGGAGGTTTCTGAGTCCAGAAGCCGACTTCCACGCACTGTTTACGGCGGTAACTCACGACAACACGGGGATGGGTGTCCACACTACACAGTAAGGGAAGCGACCGGCCTCTGGGTTTATTTTCTCAGAAGCTATCTGGTAATTCTTCATGCTTTCTTTTTCAACAACATCCGCCATCACCAGCTGTGGAAAACGAACTTCATTTATCGCACTTACAGCTGCGTAAAGTCACAAAGAAATACAAGGGACAAAAACCGGAAAGGGTGTGATTTGAGTTTCAAAATCAAATTCAAGAAGTGCCCTTTTTGTTACAAATGTTTAGGATAATTACAATTAAATATTCTGTACAGTATTTATTTATTAAATTGGCATTTCTAATTAATGAATGTACAGGTTGTTTTTTTTACTCTTTTTTTTGTCTATTCTGTTTAGATATGTTCATTCCTGTATTTTATTAGGTCTATGACACCATTATGTTATGGCACTAATATGTTCATTATTCGTATTTATTTCTTCTTGCCTTATTCTTTTCCACCATTTTATTTATTTTAATATCTTAGTAGCCTACCGTACGCTGCATTTTTGGAAGAGCCTTATATTTAAAATGGTCATTGCCAACAACTACAGTGAAGCTGCATTATGAGAATTAAGCCTTTGAATATGAGTTTGTTTAGCAGAACACTATACAAATGGTCTGTTAAGGTTTTACTTTGAAAGGTACAACCGAGACGTCTTTCTCTTATTTTATCTGGCTTTATTCTGTGTGTCTTGGCAGTGGCAGCAACTTCCGGGATCCATGAGCCCTCCACACACAGGAATAAATCAGTCTAGTAAAACTTTAGTCAAACAAGCCAGTTATTTTTGTTTAACCCTCAATCCTTAGAGCAAATGTATTTAATATGTCAAGCACATCAAACTACATCAATTTAACTAAATATTCCGAAGTAACTAAGACTCTTAGATAGGCCTATACATTAATTGGATAGCATGACGCTTAAAACCGTTCAGATAATAAAAGGGAGAGCTGTTTTTTGTATTTATTGGAATACTAAATAAAGTCATTTCATGCTATGCGATTATAGAATTTCTCAGACAAAAACACAAAGCTTTATAGTTACAGTTTCATTAAAGGTGGGGTAGGTAATTCCCTTCAGAAACACTTTTTGTTATATTCCATGGAATGCTCTTAACATCCCGATAGCAATGAATATATGAAATGCTTTGACAATAAATACATAAAAAAATGTCATCTGTGGAAGCCGTGGCGCTGTAAAAAGCACGACCAATCATCTGAGCCGGTGTTGTGTCAAATTATGCACCCCCATAATGAAATGCCCCCCTTGTGCACGGGAACGCGCATTTCTAAATGACACGTTTACACCTTAAAACGATGTTTAAAACGAAAAGTAAACGTTCAGGGTTTTTATTAATGGTAATTGTCAGACTGTGAGTTGTTTAGTGGTAGCTCATATAGTCTTGATTCTTGTGGTTAAACTTTTCGCTCCGTATTTGATGGTAGTGGTGTCGGAAATTCATTCGTCACTTCCTTTTCAGTTTTTGTTTTTTTTAATCTTTTTTATTTTAATTATTGTTACGTCCTGTCTCTATACACGTGCTTTAAAATGTATTCTTTAATTTTACATATTTGTCATATAATAATCAAAATATATGTTTACAAATGTTACATAGTCTTTGTCAGCATATTTTTGCCACGTTATGCACCCCTTGCTATCTTACATAATAAAAGTGTCACATTCATGAAACTTGCTCCATTCATTGGTACTAGTCCTACAACTATACCCTAAAAAAATGCTTGAGGGTAGGATTAATAGAAACATCTTTTGGGGGGGGGTGCATTTTATGACAGGCCTGGTTTATCATCCGAGTCAGAAATAAAACAAATATGGAGTGAGGGCTAGTCCTGCAATTGTCCAACACATTTACACACAGTAATTAATAATACATGTTGAATGAAATAAAGAAATAAAGTGACATATTATCCATACTAAAATTGTGTACATTATCACACATAAAATAAACATTCATTTTGAAGATTAGAGTCCAGTGACATGGTAAGCAATCAAAGTCAGTGTGAACAACATGTCATATTCATCTTTAACCCTTGTGTTGTGTTCGAAAGCTGTTACCGTTCATGGTGTTCGCGGGTCAATTTTGACCCATGATTTATCTCCATCTCCAAAACACTCCAAAATAATGACCAAACAATCCTGTTGTAAGTTAAAGGTTATGATGGAGTTAAAACAATATTGGATGATAGTCATTATTTTGGAGTGTTTTGGAGATGGAGATAAATCATGGGTCAAAATTGACCCGCGAACACCATGAACGGTAACAGCTTTCGAACACAACACAAGGGTTAAAGATGAATATGACATGTTGTTCACACTGACTTTGATTGCTTACTGGACTCTAATCTTCAAAATTAATGTTTATTTTATGTGTGATAATGTACACAATTTTAGTATGGATAATATGTCACTTTATTTCTTTATTTCATTCAACATGTATTATTAATTACTGTGTGTATGTAAATGTGTTGGACAATTGCAGGACTAGCCCTCACTCCATATTTGTTTTATTTCTGACTCGGATGATAAACCAGGCCTGTCATAAAATGCACCCCCCCCCCCAAAAGATGTTTCTATTAATCCCACCCTCAAGCATTTTGCAGGGTATAGTTGTAGGACTAGTACCAATGAATGGAGCAAGTTTCATGAATGTGACACTTTTATTATGTAAGATAGCAAGGGGTGCATAACGTGGCAAAAATATGCTGACAAAGACTATGTAACATTTGTAAACATATATTTTGATTATTATATGACAAATATGTAAAATTAAACAATACATTTTAAAGCACGTGTATACAGACAGGACGTAACAATAATTTAAAAAAAAAAGATTAAAAAAAAAAAAAAATTGAAAAGGAAGTGACGAATGAATTTCGACACCACTACCATCAAATACGGAGCGAAAAGTTTAACCACAAGAATCAAGACTATATGAGCTACCACTAAACAACTCACAGTCTGACAATTACCATTAATAAAAACCCTGAACGTTTACTTGTGTCATTTAGAAATGCGCGTTCCCGTGACAAGGGGGGCATTTCATTATGGGGGTGCATCATTTGACACAACACCGGCCCTTGTCAGATAGTTGGATGGCCTACCTGCCTGTCAGCCTTCCACAAACTTATCTCGTGCCCTCATTGGTCATGTGCGCGTTTGTGTGTGTTGGAGGAGGGGCTCTGTAAGGAAGTCTGAAGGAAGGGGCAGATTTTTTTAGGCTGCGTAGTTTCAAATTCTAGCGCACTCGAGCTGGTTTCTCCATTCTTACCTACTCTCGTTTAATGTAGAGATTTTTGAATATTGAATATGTTTTGGCTTTGGACTTTTGATCAAATTGTCTTTCCGGCCAAAGGTTGTCTACAATAGTTGCCTAAAAGGGAAGAGTTGTGAATGGTCCTAAAAGTGATGAAGCTATGTTGCTCATTTAGCTTTTCAATGTTACTTTAACAGTGTGTGGAAATCAGTCCAATACATCTGGAAGAGTTAAGGTGTTTGACAGGTTTCTAAACCATAAAAAGGGCAACACAATGCTATACATTGGGGAACAATCATTGTAGTAATAATCCTACAAAAATATACACTAATACGTTGGTGGATACAAAGACACTCAGAGTGCGTAGACATCCTCCAAGGCTATGCCCCATGTAACAATGGTAATGAAAGTAACAAATAAATTGTGCATCCACACTTCGGATCCCCTCCATAATGAAAGGGTTATTTGATACTTACTTCCACCAAATATCAGGAAAATCTGGCTAGTAACTTTCTCCATCTGCCAGGAAATCAAACTGAACCAAAAATAAACATTGGCAGAGGTAATTAAAACAACAATTACAGTATTAAAATGATACACACTTAGCAACTGTCCTTTTGAGCCAGAAACACTTATTATTTTATGTATTGGGGAACACATTTTAACACACTGTATTGCACAGGTTCATTGTTATCATCCAATTTCAACCAGAAGCTCTTTAATAGGACCTGACGTGTCCGGTTTGTTACAGAAAGCCACTATTTGATTTGATGCCAGAACAAAGAAGGCTCTCCAGTGTAGAGCAGGGCTGCAGCTATATCTGAGGAGTTATCTATGACAATGGTGGCAATGGAAACAAAGAGGAACCCATGGGACCTGCTGGGGCTCTGTGCTCTCCGTGCTGGGTCCCATTAGACGTGACAGGTGGTATATTGTGCGAAGGGCAAAAACAAACTACTCAGCAAAAGCAAGGAGACGTTGATAAACGAAGGCTCATCATCGGGGAGCTTTGGGAATTCTGCGGCAGAATGCCAACTCAATATCTGGCTGAGCCATCCTGCCCAATTAGGCCAGGAGATGTTCTGCTTTTAGGAGCGAAACTCTGAGACCCATTTTCCTTTGATCTCAAAGTAAAATGTCATGTGTCCACTAGTTTACAGTTCAGCTACATGGACTCTTATTACCAAGATAAGAAATGAAACTATGGGTCTAATTCTACACTAAGAATGTGGATGTATCAGAAAGATATAAGAGGGTATAAAGTTGTGATTTTAATGAGTCTCCAAGCAGACATTTGATAGCAACACAGCACTTTTCTACATAACATCATGTCACTTTAAAAGCTCCTCGGAGGGGAAGATTTTTTCATTAAAGGATAAAAAAAACGACATAAATTGTCAAAAAATGCATAATGAACCCATCCAGTGATGCGTAGTAATTAGCTGAAATGGTGCTCTTGATTTTCTGATCAACAATACATTATATAAATGTAAGTGCATGCTATAAACACCTGAATGTCTGAGGTCAGGTGGGAGTAGTTAATGTTGTGCAAGACGTTATTCCCAATTGGAGGGAAACTGTCCTGGGGCCCGACACCTTCAAGAGATCTGACATTTTGTCCTTCAGTAACATAAAGTTTGCTATATAGGGAATTGTCCTCACCAAAGCAGAACATACCACTATAATGTAATCAGGCCTTGTGCAGAAGCGGTTTCCCTTTGTTTTAAACCAACTTTTTTTGTTCATATTGTGCCTAAATGTTGCATAAATGTGTGTATGAATCAGACATCTTTTATCCATCCGATAGCGGGAACATTCACAGTGTAACATCAGCAAAGAGCAACAAGTACACTTACATATTAAATAGAAGACGCAAAAACAT